GTCCTTTATCAGAAGATTCTTCCTGCCTGCTTGGCTTGCTGTTGCTGTGATAATTTTTTGTTGGCTTTATCTCTCTTTATTACTTCTTTAATATGTTTCCTTATGGATATAATTTCATGAGATGAGCTTGGGTCATGTGTCAGTCTTAAAGGCTGTGAAGATATGCATGCCCTAGTTTCCTGCTAAAATAAGGAGGAACCTGCTCTTTTTTGTGTGTGTGATTTTTGATGTGGTTGATATTCTTTTGAAACCATGCTGCTTTGAAAATTTTCTACTTCTTTATGTTGTGCCTACTCTTTTAGTTGAGAGACTAGACATTTCATTTTCAGATGTCATGCATTTGTTTATTTGTAAAAGCTGATCTGCTGCCTCAAGCCCATTAAGCCATTCTCTTTAATTTCTGTGTGGATCTCACATGAATGAGAGAAACCTATTCAGTAACAAAAATTTGAATGTAATATTTCTTCTAAAAAGAGTGAGGACTCATAATTTGAAAGGGACTTGGACAAGTACAACATTGGGAAATACACAGAGAAGAATTTTGATTTGAAAGCAGTTGCATCTGATTTTTCTTTCTTTTCATCTCTCATGGGTAGGGCTGACTAGAAAGCCTGGCAAAGACTTTCGTGTTTAGAGTGATGTGCCTTATGTCTGCAGCCTCCAGAGCCTTTCTATTTATTTCATGAACATTTTGTAATTTGTAAATGGTATTACCTCTCAGCTTTGTAGGCTGGTATTTGATATGACAGTGTGGAATGAAACCTGCAAAAGTGGTTGGGAAAAGAGGGGGCAAAAAGGGAGTTCAGGGAGGCTAAGGTGAGAACCCCAACACTCAGAAATGTAGACTTCCTCCTTTCTGAACAAGGGAATTCCTACATCTTTCCGTATCAGAAGGAAAGTTCTTCAGCACTACAAATTTCTGTGTAAATAGAGTTTGATAAATGAAGAAACCATGAAATTCCAACCCCTGCCTCCTTTATGCAATGAAGTGTAATTCTTCTTGTTACTACTCTTCTAACTTCTTTTGGGAATCTTGCCTCTCACTCCTGCTTATTTTTGTAGTAGTTTTGCTTAAGCACAGCAGAAGGACCATGTGTTAGAGGAATATTACTATCACTCACGGCATTTTACTGTAGTAATTGAGCTGTGGAAGCTGTAGGGCAATTAAACTACTATTATTTTTAGTTTAGGTGGCATAAAGAAGACAGAGGATAAATAAAGCAAGCATCAATATTTTAAAAGAGGTATTGTTCTCGGTTAGTAAAAACAATAAACATTTAACTCCTGCTTCAGAAATAGGCGTGTATACAGAGCATGAGAGAAACATTTGCTAATGTTTTAATTCTTGCTGTCCAGCAATTTCATTTGGGGTGAACCCTTTCTGTTCTTGGCACACAAAATAACTGTGAAATAACTGAGATTTATGAAGAAAGATATAGTGCAATGTAGTCTGGCAGAAAGGAGTATGAAGTTTGTCAGAGGATAATTCTGGGAAACTAACAGGTCTCATGAAAATATCAAGCTGATAGAAGCATTTTCCTTTCAGATTTCCTTTTAAATAACAAATTTACTGGAGGTTGTTAAAACATGGTAGTTTTCCTTAGTGCCAGAAACTAAGGAAATTAATCCAGGAACTACTTGGTACTCTGCACTTTTACAGACTGACTACTGTCACTGTCTTCCGCAAAAGCAGATAACAGATCATTGGCAAGAGCAAGGAGTTGATGAGAGCCATGAAGATGCTCAGAGGGCTGGAGCTCCTCTGCTATGGGGACAGGCTGAGAGAGTTGGGCTTGGTCAGCCTGGGGAAGAGAAGGCTCCGGGGGGACCTTATAGCCCCTTCCAGTACCTGAAGGGGCTACAAGGAAGCTGGGGGGGCCTTTTTACAAGGGCCTGTAGTGACAGGACAAGGGGTAACGGGTTTAAATTGAATATGGGAAGGTTTAGATTGGATATCAGGAAGAAGTTCTTCGTGGAGAGGGTGGTGAGGCACTGGAACAGGTTGCCCAGAGAAGCTGTGGATGCCCCATCCCTGGAAGTGTTCAAGGCCAGGCTGGATGAGGCTTTGAGCAACCTGGTCTAGTGGAAGGTGTCCCTGCCCATGGCAGGGGGGTTGGAACTAGATGGTCTTTAAGGTCCCTTCCAACCCAAACCGTTCTGTGATTCTATGATCCCAGTATTAGGTACTTGAAATATTTAGGCTACAGAAGAAAGAGTGATTTACAGTATGTGAATTATAAATAATCATTTTACTGGAGTAGGTGTTTTGTTGAATGAATGCTGTCTTGTGTTCAGTCATCAGGGTTGTGGAACCTGGAATTATAAAATGTCACCTTAATGTGTTGGGACAGGATTAGTATTTTGGACTATTCCCAATGCTTTGTGTCATCATGTTCCTTGTCTTGTTCATGGGTCTTTTGGATCTTACTGAACAAGTTTTAAATGTAATCACTAATATTTCAGAAATTGCTTTGACTAATTTCTGAGCTGTTCAAGGTGACTTTCATTAGATGCTGTTGTCCTGGATGCTTTTAACTTTTCAGAGTTGTCTAGAACCCGTTTTAACATCTGTCTCTCTATTTTCTACCATCTTCAAGTAAAAACGCAGAATATACTGACTGTCTGTATCACTCATTGCTTTCTTTCCTGTCCTGTTACATTGTGGCTCTACCTCTTGTCTCCTGCTCACTCCTAACACATATGTAGGATTTTTTTATGCCTGTAAACTGGAATGCATTTTGTACCTTAGTCTTTTTAACTTACTATTTCATATTTATACTATTTTGTCATCCTAATGTTATGCTGCTCTTTTTCTGCGTCTGCTTTTGTGCTTATAATTGGTTATCTTGACAGTTTTTATGTCATTCCTTTATTTCTTTGCCTTCTGTTCATGGAAACTTTTAGACCTGCTCTGATCTCCTCAGAGGGAAGGTTTAACACACTTTTCACTTCTGTCCAAATTGTCTCTTTGATTAAAGACTCAGTCTTCTCAGTTTATAAGAAAAAAAATTACGCCTTTTCTTCACTTCCTGAAACAAAACATGACCCTGGCTACTTCTTCAGCTTTTTAAACTAATGACCTGTCTGTCTGTTGAAAGAACAATGTATCATGACACAGCCATCCCTTACAGTTATCAGCCAGTCCTGTCTTTGCAATTGCTTAGCAGTACAGCCTCAGCCTCGTTTTTCTCTTTTGTTTGAATGGCTTGACACGGCTTCCGTTTTTCTTCCCTTTGATTTCCACACTGCATATTCAACAAGTCTGAACTTTGGAATGAGGCAGAGTGCATCACCTGTATCACAGTTTTAGAACAGGTTTCCCCTTTTAAAGGAGCATTCCTGTCTCTTTTATGTCAGTGCATGTCTACAGTGCCAGACACGATGCCGAATCTAATACAGGGCATGTAGAAAGACTTGCATTCTTCCTGGTTTAAAAACACAGCAGGTGCCATGTAGTCAAAGATCCATACGGTCCGGTAGCTTGTCTAAGGGAAGAATAGATCAAGTAGAAGGTAGTGTTTCCCTATAGACTTTTCTAGCTTTCCATAAGGAAGTCTGTGACTTACTTGTTTATTAGGTATGACTGTAGCTTATATTCATGGCTGTTTGGTAGGTAGGCATTAACCTTCCCTATTGCTTTTCTCATAACAATTGCAGTTCCCTTTCTAGTATTCTGGTGGTTGGTTCACTTTTTTTTTTTAATAACTTTTTTGGTCTTATATTTTCACTAGTCTTCCTTTAGCTGATAGATTAGTAGTTTCTTCCTAGTTTATTCAGAAACAAAAGAAGAGCCTGTGAGGAAATGTCTTACTTCTGTGGTGATGAGAAACTAATGGCAACATTTTTTTTTTTTTTTTAATCCTGTCTAAAAAAAGATAACTGTAGAGTTGCACTGTCCCTGCCAAGTTTCCACAAGAAGCAGGTTATTACTAAGGAACTGTAAACTGTTGAAAAAAAACACTTGTAATGGAAACAGTGATGGTTTAACTGTAATGCTTGTGGGCATTTTCAGACAGCATAGCTTTTCCATCTCATGACTTTCAAACTTCCTGAGTACCAGTTCCTTGCTGTTATGTTGCTTTAGTCATCACTCTGTGTATATATATATATATATATGTGTGTGTGTATATACATGTACATACATATATATATTGGCTGCAGCAACACAAATATGTTGTTCAGGGTGGTTCAACAGAGTGTTGTTTCTGGACCGATACACAAAAACGTAAACTTTGGCTTCCTTTGATCTATGGCTTCCTTTTTGATTTCGGTGGCATACAGTTCTCAGTGGCATCCAAGTTACAACTGGTGTAGAACCCAGCTGAAGAAAAGCTACACTATTTTCACTAGAGGAGCAATAAAACCATCTTGATTTAAGTGAATGGTAGTGCATATAAATAGATGCAATTTGAAATCTGTCCAACTTTAAAAATTGCTTGAATATTTGCAGGTCCCACATCTACACTGTTTCCTGTTGTTTTCTTGCATTAGTCATTTTTCCATGTTTCCTTTCTCTCAGCTGTGGGAAAAAGGGGAAAACAGCAAATCTATCAGGGAATCTGAATGAAGAGAGGTGATCAGCTTTCTATAGTTTGTTCCTGCCTAGAAATTAGTTTTAGATAGGAGCATGGCCTTTTATTTTTAGTGCTAGTCCCCAGCTGCAGGCATTCCATAGTGTTCAGCATTGACTTAGAACTGTTGAACACCATCCTCTGTCCAAGCTCAAGTGAGCCACTATTTCCCAGCTTTTTAATCATTAACTTTGCAACAGCTTTCATTTCTTAAAAAATGACAGTACTGAAAATCTTTGTCACCTGTATTAAGTAAATGCCTTCTGAATGCCTGTGCATTGCCGTACTAGGAATTGTTGTCACCTCACATGTCCTGTTTTCAGTTCTAAAGCTGGGTTTTATTTAGGAATACATGTAGCAGTGTACTTTTTTATATGTTCCACAACATGCAGCTAAAATTCTTATGTTTCTCGTTTCAGAAGTACTATGGAACCTCCGCAGCCCTGTAGGTTTGGACGGCTTAAATCCACATTTGGAAGGGCTTTTTCCATTCCAAATGATTTGCTGGCTTAAGCGCTTAGTTAGGATGGCTTTTGAACAAGTTGGATTAAACATGGAATCGGTAAGTGTTTCAAACTTGTTTCATGTTTTCAGAAAATCAGGTTTAGAAAGCACTTACTTTAGTCTGCTTATCTATTCCAGAAGAGCATGTTAAGTATCCTCAATATGATTCTGCATTGCTGAAAAAGTATGAAGTTTACTATTTGGATACTGAAGTATTGAGTAATATAGAGGTTAAAAATACCATGCTGTTCCTTCTAGCTCTAATAGCAAACTGTTGACATTGTAAACATTGCTTTTCATGTTGGGCTTCTGTGTGTGTTCTGAAGCTGAAGGAAAAATTTTTAACTAATTTTTAAGTGATACTAATTCTTAAATACTTTTGCTTCTTCGCTCTTATCTAAGAGATAGGAAAATTCCCAAGAAACGGGCATGATGATAATTGTTCTATTTGTTCCTCTCCTGAAAGTGTTACAGTACATGAGAGCAACACGGCTGTGCTCTTTGCTGGGGGAACAGAGGAGCGTGCAGGCACAGCTCTCCTCTTGGAGGAAAGTGTATGGAGAGGTTTTTTTGAATGCTTAGCAGAGAGAGATCTGCTACACATCAACTGCTTGGTCATGGGGATCTTTTGGAAGCTATTTTGAGCAGAAGTATTGACCTCAATGCAGTAATCCCTGTAAACTGTTGAAACATTTTAATGTTTTAACAAGGGGGAAATACTTAACAGTTATGTGCAGTACTTAGAAGGGCAGTTCTTAGGATTACTGTGGTAGAACCTTTTATCAGAGAGAGCAAAATGCTTATACATTGTAAATTAAAATTACCAATAAGGATCTGTGTTTTCTGGATTTCATTTGAACTTGGATTTGAGATTTCATGCAGTGTAACTTTGAAAATTCAGAGTATGAGGATATGCTGAGCTACCATGAGTGTTGTCAGCAATATTTGTCTGCCTCAGTAAGGGGAGAGGGAGAAACAAGTTTTTGATCTGTTTGCCCCCATTCTCTGCTTGCATCGAGCTTATGATAATGCAATTACTTTTCCAAATGTCAGCTGTACTGGACAACAGCAAAACACTGATGCAATAAGAGGGTAGGACTAAGTAATATTTTGCAGACTTGCTCTGCCAGTGATTCAAGAAGTTGTGTGAACTTGGGTAGAGCAGTGCTGAGACTTATTAGCTCAGCGGAGCAGCATGCTGATTTACTTGCATACCTTGTGGCACAGCTTGCATGCAGTTATCTGAAAGTATTGTCCAGACACACCTTGAATTAGGAAAACTGAGTCATTAAAAGTTTTGGTGCACCAAACCACTGTTGTTGAACAACCCCAAGGGCATTTGGGCACCAAATAGTTTTGAGGATCTGAGTGATAGTCAACATCTTGTCTGCAGTCTGAGCAATCTCTAAACAAGATTTGCCACTTGTTTAAAATGCACAGCACTTTTGTTGGTCATACATCATGTAGTCTAGGCTCTTTTGCTCTTGTGGAAGTACTTCTCTAATTAATTAAGCCTTCCCTTGACTAGTATTTCTTTTTCTAATCGCTTTGAGGCTATCACCAACACTTCTGCTTCCCAATGTCAGAATCTTGTGAATAGTGAGGCTGTATTGCTGTGGTTTTGTTTGTCACTCTTGATGACTGTCAGCGAGGTATTTTGAAGGCTCCTGATCTACCTACTGTTTGCTCAGACATACAGACAAACATAGGTAGTGTGATGGTCACAAATGCACGGTCTTTGTTTGAGGCATCCAAAAATTCAGGCTCGGTAGAGTACTCTGCATTGAAACAAATTGTGTTCAACCTTTAGCAGTGTATGAAGCAAGAGAATGCGTGTTTCATAGAGTGGAAAAACCACCTCTGAGTGGATTAGTGGCCAGGTTGCAGCTCTGATGGGAGGATCTAGTGTAGCATATGTGCAGTGCATATTTGTTTTGTCAAAATTCATACATTCCAATAAAGCCAGAGGAAGGAAACATACTTGTTTAGAAATAGGCAAAATGTTTGTGTGAAGCTTCTGAGATAATATAATATGGAGATAAATACCATGGAGCATAAATTTTTAATAGAGCCTTCAAATTTTAAAAGTAGTGATCTTTGCTTAGCATATCAAAGTGTTACTCAGCTGTGTATTGTGAAACTCCCACAGCTGCACTGCACTAATCACGCTGGCGATATTGCCATGCCACATGAGGTTTGTTTCAGTATGAATAGTCTGAAGTTTATCTAAATTTTCTTTGTTGGGCAACCTTCTAAGAGGACGTTGAGTTTGCTTGAAGCTATAGGCCTTTAAAAGCTAAGGTCTGAGTTGTAAATTCATATCCACAGCCATAAATAAACATTGGCCACAGTAAACAGTGTTCTTATTGTTTACTAACAACGTACACCGTGTTAGAGTCTTCCCGTTACTCTTTTTCTTCTTTGAATTGTTTCGGTTGCCTTTCCCTGTGCTGAAATCTTTCCTACTTCTCTCTGGGTTGTCTTTTGGGGTGTTTTATTTGCCTCTGTCCTGGCTCATTTTGTAGTATTCTCCTAGGATTAAAGTCTCATTTTATTTCATACAATGATGGTAAATAGCAGGGCAAACATACCCATCGTTAAGTACAACAAAAGAAAGCAAATTCAATCCCTGTTGAAACAACGTGGAAGAAATTTGAACTGCAGTAGAAATAGTTCTGATGAAGCCAGGTGTTTGAGGTGCTGTGTGCAATTTTCTCTGGGTGAATGCTTTTTTTATTTTAGGACAAAGTTTCATTGTCATATATTTATTTTCCCCCTTTTCCTTTTCTTTGCTCTTTAATTTCACAGTTACATATTTATGCTTAGGCTAGCTGATATTTACTTTTATTAAGACTATTAGACACTGTTCCTGTGTTAGAAGAGGAAAAAAAATTCAATTAATTAAAAAATAAAAAAGCTATTTTGGGAAATGTAGAATTACATAACTTTGGATTTTTCATGACTGAGTGGCTTTTCTTGAAATCCCTTAAAAAGAGGTGCCTGACTCAATGTGGATTCTTTATTGTCTTGAAAATGGACAGATGCTTTTGAAGATGTTTACAGCTCTTGAATCCTTCTGCGTTACTTAATTTATTGCTTTGAATTTAAACTTGATGCAAAGGCTGCCTTGAACTTAAATGGCCATAGCTATATTGTGGTGACAAACACAGATTTTGTGCCAGTGTGGGTATAGAATGGAAGGAGTTCATGGATACAAATTTCAGTGTATAGATATTATCTTCTATTCTAGTTTGAGAGGAATAACTTTAAATACATTTTGCACAAGCATAGTGTGGAAGGATAAGGGAAAGCTGTTCCAATGTGTTGTAGAAGTCAATTACCTAACAGCTGGCTTCTTTTTCCTTCCCATCCAGGTGCTTTGGTCAAGCAAGCCATATGGTTCATCTCGAAGTATTGTAAGAAAAATTGGTACTAACCTCTCTCTTATACAGTGTCCAAGAGTTCAGTTTCAGGTAGGTGTTCTCAGCAGTTTAGAATACGTGTGTCACTGTACTGATAATGGAATTTGCTCTTGCATGAGAAGATTTTAAGCAAATATGCAATTCATTTAAATGGATGACTAGAGGGTTTGTAAAAGCAGAATATGCTAAACCAGGCACACAGGAGAGTTAGTTTACTTCAGTTCTTCCTATTTCCTGTTCACATTTTTTCCAAATACAGATTCTTCAGCTTCTGTACTGCCTAAAACTTGAATCCATGTTGCTGCAACACACATGATGAAACTTGAAACAATGTTTTTTTCCTAAGGAAATGAGGCAATACAGTATTAAAAAGTTATTCTTGGAAAAAAAATATATTCATAAAGGAGAAAAATGTTTGAACTTTATTTCTCTAAACAGTATTTATAAGCTAGTATAAGAGGCATGTAAAGATCAACAGTCGTTACTTAAAAATCTTTGGGAAAATAAACAACTTTATCAGAAAGTGAAAGAATTAGTAAGAAGGTGACATGAGCACCCTGTTTGCTTTTGTTTAGCGCTGTATAGGTGAAAGGGGTACACCAATTCTGTGCAGCTTCCTGACTCAACTGCGTGTAGTGGGAGGGTAAAAGCTTCAGGAGGAGAAAACCCTTGCTTTTTATAACAAGTCTTTCAGGAACAGATGGAAAAATGGAAGCTGTTACACATAATCTCTTCAACTCTGTCTGTGTTAGGAATAGGGGGTGGGTATAGAGTTGGAAAAACTTGGCGTTTGTAACTCAAACGAGAGAGGAATGTTTCTTGGGCTGAGCAAGGGCGGGGGACATAAAGATGAATTGTGGGAATCGTCACCCACAAGGTAATTTCCACACAGCTAAATTTTTCACTGTTTAAATGCATATCTTTATCCTATACGAAATGTATGAACAATATGTAGACTTGACATAGTAGCAAAATAGACAGTTGAGATGACCATGGAAGCCTTTTTGGCATGACAGTAAAAGCCGTGCTGACGTTTTGCATATCTTAAACCATTACACTGAGAAACAAGGGGGCAGCTGTCTTTCACTGTTAGTGGCCTGGTGAAACTTAAAAAAATATATACATTGTGGGGTGAGGGTTTGTGCACGTGAGAAGGACAACAAAATAACGCGTTGGATTTAAACTTTTGGATATTTAATTAAGAGCAGTTATGCCAGCAGTAAAGCTCTGTCTGCCTCAGATGGGAAAGGAAGTGAAGTCTTCCTCTAATGTGTCTGATTTTCTGTTCTGTAAAGGCCATACAAGGGAAGATGATGCTTGTTTGCAGATAGTTAGCCAAATACTGCCTTCTCTTAATACCATACAGTCACGGAATGGTTTGGGTTGGAAGGGACCTTAAAGCCCATCTAGTCCCACCCCCCCTGCCATGGGCAGGGACACCTTCCACTAGACCAGGTTGCTCAAAGCCTCATCCAGCCTGGCCTTGAACACTTCCAGGGATGGGGCATCCACAACTTCCCTGGGCAACCTGTTCCAGTGCCTCACCACCCTCTCTGTGAAGAATTTCTTCCTGATATCCAATCTAAACCTCCCCACTTTCAATTTAAACCCATTACCCCTTGTCCTGTCACTACAGGCCCTTGTAGGGGTACAAGAAAGAAGAAGTTTCTGTTTTATGCACTTGCAAAGAGCTGCAAGATACATCTGGGGAATCTGTTCTTGAATATTTTTAGAGTTGCAATAAAAATATGTATGTGTCTTCGTCTGAATTATGTGTTAGAATAAATAAAATATTTTCCTTTTTTCCTCTTAAAGAGGCATTCAGTCAGCTTTGCTTAGATTTTATGCACACTAAGTGTAGACATTCATCTTCTATTAGACGAAAGGAAAGGATCCTAAAACTAGAAGTACGGTTGTCAGAGCTGATTGAATTAGAAATACAAATTTCAAAATTTGAGGCTTGAATCACATTAAAATGTATATGGTTTTTGCAGACTTCAAATTGTTTTAATATATAAACTGCTGAATGTGTAAAAGTGCTAACATCTGTTTTTTATGTGTTTATCTCGGCGTTAAGATTCTCTAGTGAAGCGCAGTACTGGTCTCGATCGTTTTTATGCTGTTGCAACTGACGCTTTCCTATAGCTGTCTCTTCCTCTTTCTTTCTTGCCAGCTTTAGCTCTGTTATGAAAGGACCATGCACTGAACCTTGCTGTAAGTCACTTCATTTACAAACCAAAGCAAACCTTTCTTGCCTCATCTGAAGCTGCATGTGTATCGTCAGTGTTTCTGACTTCGTCTAAGAACAACAAACTTTCCACAGCTCTTCATTTTCCCTGTGATAAATGGATAAGAGATGCTGAAAGAATCTGTTATGTTCATTCTTTCTTCTAGTATGCTTTTGTTCAGCTAGTCTGAAAAAAAAGAGGACTAGCCTAACATTTTGAGGTTTGAGGTCTACTGACTCTTGTAGTATATGTCTCTATGGATCATGCCATAGTCAACATTGAAATTAATTGCTAAGTGCTGTTTATGAACTTAACCTTACATGCTGCATTTGGCATGAACAAATGAAAATGGTTCATATCGTTCTTTTTTGTACGTCACATTTTTTAGGTTTATCCGTAGTCTTTAGGAGAACATAAAGTTAAACTTACCAATATAGCCTAGGTAGCTTCAACCAAACCTACGGTACCATATTTCATGATAGTATCCTTCGGCTACAGCGTATCAGTTCTGGTCCAGTGCTTCTCCTGTTTGCCTGCTGGAAACCGGACAGCTCAGTAGGACTCTTCCCACAGAATTGGTGTGCACATAGGAAACGTCAGAATTTACTGGGCTAATTTGAAAAGTCATAGCAAGTTTTTCTTACTTGAGGAAACATTTCCAAATGTTCAATACCTAACTGCATTTGTAATTTGAGCTTTTATTTGATCCTTAAATGTATAAAAATAATTTTTCTACTTTCCACGTCCTGGAGCAAACAAAAAGTGGGGATCCTGCTTTCATGTGTTCTGCAGCAGTGTTTCCGTAGTGTAGTGGTTATCACGTTCGCCTGACACGCGAAAGGTCCCTGGTTCGAAACCGGGCGGAAACACAGCTGGGGCTGATTGCTTTGGAGTTGGACTCAGGGAGTCGTTATGGGTCCCTTCCAACTCAAAAGTATTCAGTAATTCTGTGACACCAGCCAAAACAGTACGGTGCATTTAATCTTTTCTGCAGAAATTTAGTTGGGGCTGATTCCTTTGGAGTTGGACTCAGGGAGTTGTTATGGGTCTCTTCCAACGCAAAAGTGTTCAGTAATTCTGTGATGCCAGCTAAAACGATGCATTTAATCTTTTCTGCAGAAATTCGTGGAGTTATTTATGGGTCTGAAACCCGCAGGCGCACGCACACCAAAATAGCCAAAAAGCCTGCGAAGGAAGAAGCAGGGGAAACATCAACTACTCCGTTTCGAGAGAAAGAAAAGACAGGCCACTTTCAGTGTTCCATTCCATTCCTGTCATCCAGTAAAACTGGGCCTCTGTTTTCTGCTCTTTGTTCCCCATTTCAGGTGCTGGCAGAGCAGCTGTCAAAGTTTTCTTCAGCTGGGATTGGCTGGAGGAAAAGGATAGGCACCGAGTTGTTTAAGCATCCTTCTGCAGGCAGCAAAGGTTTTAAGAGATGGGTGTTGGCTTTTAACCTTTAAATTAAAGTAAAAATCCACTACCTTAATTTGAAATATGAAATCCACTGCTGTGGAAGGCCTTGTTGTTTTTAGAGATAGAGAGAAAAGAAACATCTGTATATGTGGTAACAAGCAGATTATGTTTACATATAAATACGAATAAAAAAGTAAGAAGAAACTTGCATCACAATATAACAGACGGCTTTCAACTAAATGTTGGATTGGAAGTTATTTATCTCACAGTGCAGGAAACCTGGCAGCGGTAAATGCATTCCTTACTGTTGATTTATAAAATTATTTTTGATGCAAGTACGTGTAGTGCCTCTATTTAAATGTGCCTTCAGTCTTTCATGGTAGTGGTTCCTTGTGTGGCCACTGCCACCAGGAAAATCTCTATTGCTTGTAAGGAGTGGCTAATGTTTTACGGATTTTTTTAAACTGCCATTAATACAGATGTTGTGGTCATGAAGATTCTTTTTTAAAATAAAAAATAAAATGGCCAAGGAAACCTGGACAATGAAAATCCTAACATGCAATATAGTATTCTCCAGACTGTTTTAAAGAGAGGCAGGCTGTGATGGTATTAGGCACAACTGTTAATGTGATAAACATATTACCATCTGTGCTGATGCTACCTGGAAAAAACCCTGTTGTTTCCAAATGATCTGATGGTGCCAATACACACTCCTGGGAGCTGTGGTAAAGGCTCACATACAACTTGAGAGAGAGTTGAGGTGAGGATGGCTAATCTCCAATTCCAAAGCTATCTGTAAGAACCCCGGGGGAAAAACCAACCCCAAACCCACAACTTCTATCTTTCTGGGTTTGGGTATCACAGGCTACAACCAAAATATCTGGATGTTCTTCAGAAGCGGTTTCACCTCAGCCAGACTGCGGTCCTACTGTGGTAGGTCTGCTACAAATTCAGGTTGATGTGAACGTCTCGTAGTTGCTGCTGCATATTAATGTCCTCTTACAGAGGTGAGTTGCCTTGAAAATTGACCTACGTGCCAAGAGGCTGGATCAAAGCCGCCTTCACAGGCTGGCACACGCCACCACCCTCTTTGTCAGTGTTACTAGCTTCTTGGCAACTACCAGCAGCAGGCAGCATTTAAACAGCTGCAACGACTCGTCCAAATCCGGCCTGTGGATTGTATGTTGTGCAAGCAAAAGGGGTGGCATCGTTGCACTGGAAATAAGTAACTCAAGGTGACAGGTAAAGCAGAAGGAATTACTGAAAGGTGTTTCAGTAGCTTTTACCTGCAGAGATACTGAGACCAGGCTGCTCAGTAGTCCAGTGACTGAGTACATGTGCCCTTATCTAACCAGGGAAGCAGCCAGTATTTCAAAGTAGATTTGAAACCATTTTGTGTAGTTGTGTCTATGAAGCATGTCACGATGCTCCAAACAGTTTTTCAAATCTCCATTCAGGTCATTTAACTGTAAACCTAAGAAAGGTTCCAGTCACTGGAACCTTGCTCACCTTTGGCTTCAGACAGCTGTAAAGCTAATGGCAGAACCGGGATGGAAAACAGTCAGTTTGTTTGGCGTGGTGTAAATAAGATTGTTAGCAAATAGTGTATTCTGTTAGGGTTGCATCCTACCTCTCACACAAAGTCTTTGTGATTACTGAGCTAATAGAAATGGCTTGCTTTTTTTTTTTTTTCCCCCGTGTAATGCACGCACCTTTGTTCATGTACAGAAATTCTGGAGGTTGTGGGGGAGGGAAACATACTTCAACGGAATTTCAAATTAATACTAAATTGGAGCAAACAACTTAAGAAGTACTAGAAGCCTTAATGTCTTTTTTTAACTACTGGTCATGAATATAATTTTAAAAACTATTATTTGAGCTAATATAACAAACTGAGAATCTTGGTGTTTGTTTGTCTTTAAGGTAATAATTTGCACTGGATTTTCAGTGTTCAGTAGTTTCACATGACAGTATGTGTAGTTAACTGTGAACCTCTGCAAAGTCTTCAGCAGTCTAGACTGAATAGTTTGAAGTCATTGAAACGGTTCTGGACCAAGCCCAGGACAGAAATAGGTGTGCTAAGTCTACAGATGTTTTGTGCATGTAGGTGTTTATAGTTACATGTAGCCTGACTAAAAGCATTGGATAAAATAACTGTGACTCGGGCTGGGAATTGTGACTCTAAAACCTTCAATCTTGTCTTTAAAATTTAGCTTACTTCTCATGCCACAGAAGGAAACCACCCTAGTCAACTTAGAGAAGATGCGGTGGCCTCCTTTGCAGATGTGGGATGGGTTGCTCAAGAAGAAGGTGAAATCTCTACAAGGCTCAGGTATGCCTCTCAAATCTTCTCTGACTTTTGTACTGAGGGGAAGCAGCCTTGCTTCCCTCCAGTGAGAATCTACTGTGCGTTACAATCAATGGAGAGCCCTTGGATGCTGGGAGAGAGAGGGGAAGAGCAGTAGGAAAGGTAGGCTCTGGAAAAGAAGTAGTAGAGTTTAGACTAACAGGAATATGAATGAAAGGTTGGCTTGATAATATATAGGAGATTGACTTTATACAAGGAAGACTGGTTTTTGTTTACGTGCAGAGAATTGCACGTGACAGCCTGAAGCAGCCTCGTCCCCACGCAAGTGCCTGGTGTGGTGTGGCACAACGGCTAACTCTGATTCTCCGCTTCTCCTGAGAGTTTCATTAACGCGGGGCGGTGTTCTGTACAGCTTCCTCATTAGCAATAGTGGTCACTCTGACAATCTAATAATTGGCACATCGTTTTTCACCTTGCTGGTTAAGGCTTTGCAGTCTGCTAAAGACGATTGAAAAAATGATGGGTTATATTTTGTCTTTAACGTTCCTAACGGAAAGTGGCAGGGAAGCGTGTAAGCACCTGTGTCGGGAATGACGGGGTGGGTGCTGTTGTGCTGGACACACTGCTACATAGCACTGTAACTGCTATAATTACTGTGTAATTCAGTAAGCAGACTTGCAGCCATCTTTTTTCCTACACATCCAGCTTCATAGAGGAAGCAACTAAATAACACATAATTTTTCCCCTACCCCTAGTCAGAGCAGTAGTGACAACTCAGGAATAATATTTTTCCACGGTCTTAGATTCCAATCAAGACATTTCCTTAGAACACTGTTCCTGCTCTGAACGGAAAATACTCTCTGTTGTTTAGTTGTTCTGCTCCTTTAAAAAGTTCCGAGGAGGCAGGTTTTAAAGAGTGAAGTGCCCACTGGCTTCTTCCACCTTACTTATTTAGGGAAAGCAGAAAGATAGCTGCTATAGGAAGCATCTTGTTCTCAGCTTTAGTTGCTCTCTATTCCCATCTAGATAACACCACCTACATTTCAACATGCTTGATAACACTCAGTTCCGCCTGATCAAACTTCTGCAAGTTGTGCTGGTGTTTTCTGTCCGTGTCGTGGAAGACTCAAATGTGCATCTGATCCCAGATTGAGGTGGTCAGAGCGCAGGTCTTGATTTGGCTTTAAATCTTGGCTCTTGCTTCAGTTAAGTGTAGCATAACTGCTGACCTAAGATGATGTGCATCCAGAGTAGCTTAACCCGAGCATCCCGAGGATGTGGCTCTTAAGCAGTGTTACCTGGAGCCATTCTACTCCTACCACTAGCCACTGCTCTTACTCTCATGTTTGAATAAATAATGGAATCCTGCTGTGCTGGATTCAGTGAGAGCAGCTTCATGGTATTTTGCTAGTTAAACCACGACACCTGGCCTGCCTGAGAAGTTTTGGGATTGGAGTTAAGAGGTTGAGGAGTTAGGTATGTGGTTGTATTTTGCAGTCATGATGTTGATGATAATCTGTTGTCATTAATCCTTGTCAGTTCTGCTTACAGAATCATAGAATCGTTTGGGTTGGAAGGGACCCTGTGGTTTTGGGTTTAAGGGTCCCTGCAATGAGCAGGGATATCTTCAACTTGGTCAGGTTGCTCAGATGCTTCAGATAAACGGTATAAAAATTATGTCTTCAGTGAATATCACCTTTTGTAAGTGCTTGTTTGGCTGCAGATGCTCAGTAATGCCTCAGTGTTTAACGTAGCTTGAGCTTTGGTGGGTAATAGAGGAAGACAATGGAGTTGCATTTTCTTACTCTTATGAGAAAGGAGGAAGCTTATGGACTCTTTAGAACTCTATGAAGTTTTCTTGTCTATACTTTTATTTATTGTGTTACAAAATGAGATATAAGACCCTTTCCCACTTACTGATAAGCAGCCTCTGTGCCACTAAGCTGTTTCACTTGCTCTGTACTCCCAGCACTGCTAAAATGCAGGATTGTTCCTTCAGAAGTCCAAGAAAGACAAAAATGGGCTGTGGATCTAAGAAACACTATTTTTTTCAAAGGAATCAACTACAAGTGACTGTTTGCCGTTCATGGGGGAAGAACAGTAGCATTTGGGTAAAAGATCAAATCAAATCTTAATTCCAAGAAAAAATACAATAGGTATGAGGCAGAGAAATAGATTGGGGGGATGAGGGGGTGTATTCCTTTTTTTCTCCTGAAACCAAGGGTGCCACAAAAAGTTGACTCGGGAAAGAGAAGAAATGCAGCTCGTGATGCTGACAGAAAGGGTGTGGAACTTTAAGCTATGTAATGTCTTGGCAGAAGTGGTTTGTATAAAGCCAGTTTTGACGTCGGGCCTTCAGCTTGCCTTCCTGGTGGGTACGTAACGGTGCAGTAGTTTTTGCTTCTAACAAAGCCTTTAAAAAAGGAATCTCGTGATATTTTTGTAACAGGTCAGAAGTTTGGTCAAAAACAGCTCAGCCTCTTCCTGGTGAACTGCATAATTCTGGAAAGTCCCTGTGCAGACAGATGTCCTCAGAAAACCCGTTGGAAGAACCACCAGTGTCCAGGAGCACAGTGACTGCCAATGAAGAAGCTCTGCAGAAGATCAGCGCCCTAGAAAATGAACTGGCCAATCTAAGAGCTCAAATAGCCAAAATTGTAATCTTGCAAGAACAACAGAACCTGACAGCAGGTATTAAATTTGCTGTACTCTTAGTTAGTGAATTTGTCCCTTTTATAATTAATAATTTATAATGAATTTGTTCTTTTTATAATTAATAATGTACTAATTAGTTTTCATGAGGTACTGCAACACTGAACACTTCTCCATATTGCTTTGGGTAGTTTGGTAGACAGATACAGCACATGAACCAAGGGACACAGAATAGGTCTTGAAGACAGGAAACCTGCCAGTTTTTCCATATATTCCAGTGTTCCAAAAGTCTTTGTGTTTGTGTGAAAGTCTGCCAGAATTCTGAACCTGTGGATGAGGAAAGAAGTAGTAAACAGCTTTCAGAGCAAAGCTCATGATAAACACGATGGTTTAAACCAAACTAAAAGAATGTTACTTAATTGCTAACAAACACTTAAATCTTCCCATCCAGTAATAAAACCTTAATTATCGTAAGGTGATCATAAATGCCTTTAAGTAATCATACAAGATGCTAATTACGCTTCCAGAATATGCAGTGTACATCTTGAGTTTATGAAACAATTAACAGAAAGGAGATTAATTTTTCACTGGAATCATCTCTGGGAACAAACACATTATCCAGATGGAACCGAAAGTGGTGCACTGTTTCTAGTAGTAAACAAGAGTAATTCTTCTTTTCCTGAGTTTCTGTCTCCTCTTTCCATCTACCTGGCGTTCGGAGTCTACCGTCTCTGAAAATTAGTGGGAGATGACCCTTGCTGAGTGTAGATGACAGCCACTCACTTTTCACTCTTCCCTAAGGTCACAGAGCAAGGACAGGTCTTTCCTATGTTTATGTATAAAATCATGTTCTAATTCTTCAGATGCTCTTGTTTAATTCTTGTCTTTGTACTGGAAGCAGTTACTCTTTTCCTTAACTCTTCATATTCAAAGCTATGAAATAGTTTTAAGGATCATGTAGTTTCACTCTTAAATTGTCATTGTGGTGGTTTTGTGAAATAACTAATAACTTACTTGGCATTGTTTTCCCTTTACCCCTATTTATTAGGAAAATCTTGATTTCATTTGATTATCTTCACCTCCCTCTCCTGGTAGAATGTGGTAATGACACCGCCTGTACACTCTGCACAGAGTATCATAGAATCATAGATATGACACCGTCTGTACACCGTGTGCACAGAGTATCATAGAATCATAGAATGGTTTGGGTTGGAAGGGACCTTAAAAATCAGGCTTCTTGCTATTAACTGTATATGTACCTTCCCACGCTTCATACTCCAAGCCTCAAAACTCTGCTTTGGTCTGGTTTTCTTGATTTCTTTAAAGGTGCATGTGAGCAGACGTTTCTACATTTGATTGTGTTATTGCTGCTGTTATATTTAGAACATCAGTTTTTACCTGAAGAGTACATAAAACTTGAAATCAGGATTATGGTGAGAATTGCAATCCCAAGCACAAGTACAG